CTCTGTTTAGAGAGCTTTACTGCAGGTTTTTATCAGAGCTGCTGCTAAAACACCAACCCCAGCTGGTGGATTGGGTGACTAGCTCTTGTATTGCTGTCAAGCAGGACTCTGATATTCCAGACTATCTAGGTTTTTACTGACATTGCCAGATCTCTTGCCCATGCAGTCTTCCCTGTGCCCTCTGTTATAAAATCACATTAACTTTAACTCTGGTAACTCTACTACTTCCCCAGGCTAGCAATACCATTTATCTTTTATCCACTCACAAAAGCACAAGAAGACATTCAGATGGTCTGATCCCACACCAGGCTGGGGAAAAGTGTACACTGTCCCATGTTCATCACCTCAGCCACTTTGACCACACCAGCAGGTGCTACATTAAGCACCACCTTTGCCCACTGAGAAGATGATCTAAAGCCACGCAGTCTGTCCAGGGAAGAAAGAACAAGTATCATGTTCTTGGTGTTACCCAAGCACATTGTGGTGAGTTTTCATAGTACCCTGCCCACCCTTACACCATTTCTCCAAACCATGTTCAACCTAGGGTGGAAGAATAGAAAGAGAGGGCACTGGAATTTCACCCTTTGTTCTTTCCTCCCTGTTCTACTCTTCTGCAGGATGCAGTAGAAAGCAGGGAATGATTCCTCTAACTGTACACTGTAAGTTTCCCTTAAGTGATATTCTTCATCTCCCACCACAATAGGTTGTAATGAAATTATGAACAGAAGTTCATGATCTCTTCTAGATATATAAGATTTGGAAATTGAGATGATACTTTTCTTTCCCAAAAAATCAAGCATTCTATGATGTTATCACTGGAGTCTCAGAAAAAAAAAAAAAAAACAAAAACCTGGGTCTTTTATTTACTTTAAATCCCTGCTCCATTCTATAAAATTCCTCTTACCAGACTCTATCAAGATAGACTAGACTGTATGAAAATTGCCTCTTCACTTACTCCTTCCTCCACTAAACAATAAGCCTCTTCAGCATGCCACCTATTTCTTTATTCCCAGAACTTACCATAATATCTATTACATAATTGATCATTAATTGGCATTTGCTAAGAAACATGACACAAGCTGGAGTTGATTTTATATCAAATAGATTCCATTCTTAATCTAGGTATTGTCTTAGTTGGGTTCAGGTAATTTTTCTGAGGAGTAATCCCAGGAAGCACACACAGCAAAAGAAAAGACAGGAAAATGGGACCTGCCCATTAAGGTTGTGTCAATGGGTTGGGGACACCTGAGTCTTAATCCAATTTGAGACCTTTAAAGAACTCTTAACTCAAAACTGACTCTTGGGAGACTGGAAAACATGGGGCATTTATCTACTGACTCCAACCCAAGAGTTGTCCCCTGGGGGTTTTAACTTACAGGTTGTGCCTGTTTGCAGCCAAGCAAGTGCATGTATCACCAGAAAAGACCCAGATCAAAGCGCCCAAGAGGCACAGGCACTCAAGCATGAAGCAGTGAACCTGTTATACCAGTGAACTCTGAGCAGACCAAGGCCATAGGATGGACGTCGATAGCAGCTGCTATATTAGCAGACCCATATAAACTAATATTGGACATGAACTATTTTATTCTTTATGGGCAGCAAGGAATGATTTTTATTCCATTCAAAATATTTAAGAGGGATAGACAAAAATCCTACCTGATTTAGTGTTCATGGTGAACCAAAAACCTTTCCAAGAAAAACAGTATTTGTTAATGTTCTGTATTATTATTTATTAATAAATCATTTTCCCACTGAAGAATGTACGTTTCTCAGACCTATGAGATTATAAAATTTATTTTATTGTGATTATGTCTGTTCCAGCATCTTTGCTATATAGCTTCAAAGAACTGGTTTTGGCACATCATTAAATAGCCATAGATAGTCATCATCACACTCAGCATATCCACATACAGAATATCATCAGTGATTTGAGATCATTTTGAGGCTGCATTCCTTTTTATTTTTTTTACAGCAGAATTATTGGTAAACTTCCATGACCTTTACTCCATGCTGCTGTACAACAAAGTTCCTGCTAATCCCAATAATGTATGTGGAATAAACAGCGCACCACCTAATGAAATTTACGGCTTAGAGTACAGAAATGCTTGTCAGTTTTTCAAAAAGTGGCTGTTTTACTGTTCAATGGATGCAAAGATGAAGTTAAGCTAAATAAAATTACTTGAAACAAGTGAGTTTGATACAGATGTTGAAAGTGATAATCATACATGGACTGGTGTTGAAAGACTTTAGAAATATACAGCATTCAAAAAGAAAAGACTCAGAAATAAGTCATGGTGAGCAGATGTCAATCAGCCTCCCAGAGCATGTTGAGAATGCCTTCCTTGCCTCCCGGCACACTGCTACCCTGCTTGGAATATCTTTAATCTCCTCCTTAATAACTCTTACTTGCCATTTTTTTTTAAACAATGTAAAAGTTTATTTGGGGTTTCTTTCTGTCAGCTCTTTCCATAAACAAACTATCACATCCATCCCAAAATTCAGTTGCTGTGACAGCAAACCTATCTGCTCATGTGCACAGATTCCTGGGTCACTTGGGAGTGACTGATCAAGCCTGGGCTTGAATGGCTAGCTCTGCTTTCAACTGCATCCAAATGTGCTGGGCTCTACCTACTTGCCTTTTAAGATGACTTGTCACCTCCTATATTACTTTTCTACCACTACTGTGACAAATTACCATAAACATGTTGGCTTAAAACAACACAAATATATTCTCTTACAGTTCTGGAGGTCAGAAGTCAAACATTCCAAATTCAGGATTTCAGAAGGGCTGGAGGCTCTAGACAAGAACCCATTATCTAGCCTTTTTCAGCTGTTAGAAGCAATCTGTGATCCTGGGTTCAGGGTCTCCTTCCTCTATCTTAAAGCATCTTCCTCTTTGAATTCTGCACCCATCCTTCCATCCTGTGACCCCAATTCTCCCTCTTATCAGGATCCTCATGATTATCCTGAACCCAACAAGATAATCTGCTCATCTCACGATCCTCAACTTAATCATATCTGCAACATTTCCTTTGCTTTGTCAAAAACAGTTTCAGAAGTTCCAAGGATGTCAACATCTTTGGGGTAGAGGTTGGCAAAAGTGGATTTATTCATCCTAACATGCCTCCTCTTGAACTGACCTAATAAGTCAGAATTAGTTTGTCTCTCTGGATCCTACAATTGTCTAAGTATACCTCTATTATGGAAGTTTTTTTAAAGATTAATTTATTTATACAAGAACTGGTGTACAGGCCAGAGGTGCAGGAAGGTGAGAGAATTCACGAGAGACAGAGCGGGGAGCAGGACAGGCAGATGACCAAAAACACTGCTGAGGGGAGCAGCGGGTGAGACAGGAGAGGTCTGCCGCACCATGTGAGTATCTCCCTGGCTTGCCAGGAATCAAACCCACGCTGTGGAGGCTGTGGACAGCTTCACAGTGCTGCACTCAACCCACTGTGCCACCAGGGAGGCCCTATTATGGAAGTTTTTAGAACAACTTTACATTAGGGGTTTAATCTTTACATTTACTGTTTGTTGTTGGCAAAATTGTGTATTTCATCTACATAGTCTCACTGACCTGAATCCAAAGCCAGTACTCTCTCACTTTCCTCCTGGGAAAAGGAAGAGATGATGTAACGCTAGGTGAGTAGAGAACAGAAGGAGGATCAGGTTCCTCCTCTCACCCTCCAGTCTATCATCTGCCAGTAAGAAGCAGCACCAACTTCTCATTTTCCTCTTCTGAAATAAGGAAATATTTATAATATTTACCACATACATTTCTGCATGTTAATGAATGAACATATGAAATTTACATAGACCAGGGACTGACATATGCTATTCACTCAAAACTGTTTCCCACTGTGAGGTTATTATAGGAATGAGACAGTACATAAAGCCACAGCACAATGATTGACATGCAGTAAATTTGGCTTTTCATTTATCATTATCTGTGTTAAATACAAAACAGTTTAAAGAAGTGACATAGATTTAAGAAAATGCTACATTTCAAAGGTAGGAGTTTAGCAAAATGTACTCAACTTTGTGCAAATTGACTCATTATGGGCACAGGGTTAAAAGACATGGAAGATAATGTTGCAATGGGTACAATTTATTAGTTCTAATAATGAAATAATAATAGTAATAAAAGCAGACTTTTAAACATTTCAGATATTCTAATTCTTTTTTTAATATTTTATTTTATATAATTCTTACATCATTTTTCATTTTTGCACAATGTATGCATTTTCATTTTGGTTGTATTCCCCATACAATTGCACCCCCCCTTATTTTGACCCTAATCCTTCCTCTCCCCACCCTACCCCCCCACCATAGTGTGTCGCTGGTTTATAGTTGCTTGTTGATTTTGATTTTTACTTTGTATTAATTAGTCTTTTTCCTGGTCCCTTATTTAGGTTTTCTAAATTTCTGCTATGAGTGAGACCATCCGGTATTTTTCTTTTTCTTTCTGACTTATTTTGCTGAGCATGATCCCTTCCAGCTCCATCCATGTTGCTGCAAACTGCGTGTGTTTATCAGATATACTAATTCTTGATATGACTTACTGTTAACTCCAGGCAGTATCTAGCAATCTAAAGGCTATTTGATTATTTAGATTTCCCAGGTTATTATCATTCATGCACATAATGGGCTTGAAGTCCTTTAGATCACAGGATCTGCACACATTGCCTGCATGTTCCAAGACAAATTGAGCCATTCCACTCAAATGTTTACAGTAAATAGAATAGAAACTTGTGGAATCATCTTCCTCTCTCATATATGAAGCAACAGCAAAGTGGTACAGGGTCTCAGCTGTTTCAAGTTCCTCAATTGAGTTTTACTTTTGCAAACGGCCCACTGACTTCCTGTATGTGAGCTGCATTCTGAGCAACATGACCGGCCGTAACATTTGCTGTAATTTTTTAAATATGTGGGAAAAAAGAAAGATATCAACCATGTATTATCTGAATCAAGATGCCAAATTATCAAACTTATTTCTCCAGGCAAGCAGCCCAACAACAGGGACAGCTCCCAGGAGCCAGTCAAGGTTGTCTGTCTGTCCATCCACTCAAGACATCTGCAGGTAAGTGCTTAACAAATGTTTCTACTCAGCATTGTTTGAAGCCAGTGTTTTATATTGTTTTATTCGGAGACTTATTCTTGCTTCTGCCTTACATTGTCCACGGCCAATTTATACTAGCTTAGTTTTTTTCTTTAATTCATTTTCTTCAGTTGATCTTTGTTTACCAACTTCTGGTCCATGTTATCGTTTTCATCATTCTCTCTCTCTGTTTTTCCATGGCTTTCCTCTCCATTCCCATTTCTCATCCTTGGCCTTTGTCTAGATCTGCCATCTTGCATGACATGGCATAAGACATGAGCAGTGCACCCCAGTCATGGTGCTGAGCCCTGCTAAGAAGGAGTTTGGTAAGAAATCAGTGAAACAGGCCTGGGAGGAGGAGAGAGGTCTCTTGAGAGATATGAGCATGCAGAAGAACAATAAAAGGAAGAAAAAATGATTTGCCCCTCCAAATCTCAAGTGCCATATGGAATGAGCTTTGCACAGATTCTTCAGATTCATCCACTACAGATGAGATTTGCTGGATTCAGGCAAGAAGAAGAGCCTAAATTTGATTCTACTTGTCTCAAGATGGAAAACAAATAATAATAAACCTTGTGGAACCTTGGCTGGATATTCTACTCCTGATGGAACTAAGCTGGTTGATTTGCAATCCACAGGTAAAGAGCAACAAGAAGAGACTGAATATGAAAATTGCTCTTTCAGTTGCCTCAGAAGTAAAGACACAAGGTACCAAGAATGTAGTCACTCCCTACAGAGATGCTCATCTTAGATGAAGAGACCATCAAGGGACCACAAAGAAAGCGGAGATAGATACCACCACAGAGCTCCCCAGCTCTTGCATAGCTCCAGGCATAATGAAGCAATCAAGAAAAGAGTTTCAGAAACACTGACATGTTGGCAGCAGCAGATGGTGGCAGGTAAGCAGATGATGCAGGGTTCCAGATGAACCGCTCTATTCAAGAACCTCCTGCCACCTACAACGATGACTCTGATAATTTGAAAGCATGCAGGTCAGTCACCACTGAGAAAAAAAAAATGATGCCATCCAAATGTAGTTCTTCCTGATACAAATTAGCTGGGCATTTGACTCCTACTTTCAGAATATAACATTGTTCATACTGGTTTTTGGTCTAACTGGATATACAGTGATGAAAGGAGAGAAGATGGTATGAGAAGAACAATGCAGAAGTTTCCATGGGTTTAAAAGCTGAATAGAATCAGATTTGCTCTTGCCCTTTCTTTTAATTGACTGGTTTATCCTGGTAAAGGGACTGACAAACTAGTTGAGTTTTTGTACCCATTCTAGTTAAGACATAAACAGTGGAGGAAATATGTGAAAGAAATCTTTCACTCTTCAGTGCAAATTTGGTGAGCAGTAGCACCCTAACCATAAGAAATTCAAGCCCTGGGTTTCTTAAGGTCAGATTTTTGTATCAAAAATATATCCTTTTATATCATAAAATCTCCTTTTCAGTTGGCACTCATTTGCCCTCTAGTTTTTGGATTCAAGACCGAAAAGACATGGAGAGCTGTGATGGACATAGCTCTGGGCTACTAGTCTCCAGGGAAGGAGAAAACATTGACTTTCCTGATCATCACATACTGAAAGGCTTCAGCATGTTGACATTGTGTTGCTCTATCACTTCTTGCTTGCACTTTTTAACCTCTTTTTAAAATAACTTAATGTTAAAAAGAATTAGAGGAATACCCATGCTACTATGCATAAATGAGACCATTTTAAGAAAAACATATTCCTAAATGTTCACATGATACCTGATAAGTTAAGTTGGTTACTTTCTGATTGGGAACAAGTGACGCCCCTTGTTGCCTAACGCTTGCTTGGTTGTTTGGACTTATTTTTATGAAAGTTGAAATTACTTTATTAAACAAGTATGTTTCCTGTGAATGATGTGATCCAGTGACTGCTGACTATGTTCATTCAGGGCAAGACAAGAAGGAGAATTAATGTCTGAGTGTAAATAATATTAGAGTAGTCTGTTTCTCCAAAATTTTTACAAGATATTCATTCATAAAATGCTCATTCACTTATTCATTCAAGCATGTATTATGTATTAAGTTTTCCTCTAGGCACTAGAAATATTATAGTGCTTGAGATTTGTGTAGTCTCTGACATCTTAGAGTTTGCAGCCTAATGAGGAACACAGACTCAGAACAAACTAACTCACCCTTAACATATGATTACAATCATGTTAAGAAATATGGGAGTAGATGACAAGGAAGACTTGTTATCTGGAATATCAGAGAAGAATCCTGGGATATCAGAGAAGAATCTTGCTAAGCAAATGACAAACCAAAGAGGCTCAAAGGATGACAGGAATTAGTCAAGGAAAGAATCAGGGAGGCCATCCAGCTAGAGGTGCTACTGCAGGCAACAGGGGGAAGGAAAAAGCTCAGTCATCCGGGGAACTGAAAGCCAGCTGCTGTGGTTCAGGTGCGGTGGGGGAGATAGCTGTGCGGTGGAGGTAAAGAGAGAGAGCCATGGAAAAAACTCTAAGAGATCTGAAATAGACTGTTTGATTTGTATTAATATGCATTTCTTATCATCTTGACTCTGATTTGAGTGTGACTTTGCTGAAATGTTGGGGGATAGATTAAAATACCGTTTCTGATCAAAACTAACTCCCCATTTACAACCACCTGCTGTCATCCACAGACCTACTTCCAGTATAATTCAGTGCAGGACAGTCAGAGGTGCTGTTTGTATGTTTAATGGTAATTGGATAAAAAGATGCTTGTAATTAAAATCATAGGGAACGGTTTGCCTAACTTTTAAATGCATCACTCTGGAGGAAAATAATTGAAGACAGGAAATTTAACTTAGGTTTCTATTAATTAAAGTGAGATCGATGAGTCTATAGTTACTATTTCCTGCTGTGGCTTATTTTCAAAATATACCTATTAAGCTACATAATGGGCATGCTAGATGCCCATATCCTGGAAACTGAGGATAAAAAGTGACAGAAGAGTTGATTCTTCCTTCAAGTATCCTATTATCTAGTGGGAAATTTTTAGCACGCACTTGAAAAGACTGAAGTTCAAAGATGAATTTAAAAAGGGGAATACAGGGCCTCCCCGGTGGCGCAGCGGTTGAGTGCTGGGTTGTGAAGCTGCCCTCAGCCTCTGCAGCGCCGGTTCGATCCCCGGCTACTCCCCGGCCACCGGAGGAGGGTCCCACATGGAGCGCAGACCTCTCCTGCCGCCCGCTGCTCCCCTCAGCAGTGTACTTCGGTCCTTCTGCCTGCTCTGCTCCCCGCTCTGGCTCTGGTGAATTCTCTCACCCTCCCGCGCTTCTGACGTACCCAGTGCTTGTATAAATGAATAAATAAATCTTTAAAAAAAAAAGATTTAAAAAAAATAAAATAAAATAAAAAGGGGAATACAGCAGGAATTTGAAGAAAAAAAATTGTTGATGACTGGGACAACCAGAAACCCCTTAAGAAGAGGTGGTACTGGAATTGAGAATTCAGATTGGCAGAGATGCATGGGTGGCATTTCAGGTACTCAAGTGAGGGGAAATACCATAAGTCCCGGGACAGTTAAAAATTTTGTGTGAACTTGCTGTGACTAGGTTGAAAAATTTGCATAGATGGAGAACAACTATTTCTTAAGAAGATGTGGTGAAGAAAATAAGGGTATCCTTCCAAGGAGTTTAACTCTATCCTATGCATCGTTTCCAAACTACCTTAATGAGAGCCTTTTGACTCAAAAGCAGAGGAGAGATCAAGAGCATTGTGCTCACTTCAACCCATCTTCAACCAGAGAAGCTTCATGTTATCTCTCTTATACAATGTGATTCTATATAATATTCCTTTAAGAGAAATAATAGATTCCAATGCAAATAATAATAATAAGGAATAGCCACTGCTATATACAATAGGCTTGGTGGAGAATAGCATATAGAGAGTAGTCTCAGTGTCTCTGAGTGTGTGCTGGAAGGAAACCTAGATTTAGAAGAACAGGTTGTGCTATGATGGAGGTGTCCATCTTTGGGGTTAGTAGGACTGGGATGATAATGGGTAATGACAGGGAGGGGCAAGTGGGATCCTGGATCCCACATCAACAGGAGCAATCTTAGTGCTTGGAGTTGGTGAGCACATAAGACAAAGGGTCAAGGATGACTCCAAACTTTAGAATTTTAGAAAGATTAATTCTGATGTTACTGACAAAAGCAGAAGAGGTCACAGGCAAGTTGATTTTGGAAAAACATGATTTCAGTTACAGGTAGGCTGTGGTAAAGACAATATATCAGAGTCAGCTCTCCAGCACGTGATATGAGACATGTCACTGAAACAGGAGAGCAGTCAGGGCTGAGTCTGTAGCGTTCTTCAAACATCCAGGATCTATACACAGATCAGCACTAAACAATTATGTGTGTGCAGCTGTCATGAACATGATGCATTAGCACAGGGTAGTAACACAAAGATATTAAAAATGGAAAATCTTTTCAAGGCCAGGTAGGACATATAGGTTTGGGTATCATCTCAGGGAAGTGACTGAGTTGCCTGGAAAGTGAATGAAATCTCAAAATAAAACCTTAAGTATGAGAAAAGTCTGCAGGTGGACACAGCCCTAGCAGCAGGAATCTGTAGGGGAGAGAGATGATAGGTGAGAGAAGCAGACTGTGAACTTGCACTCCTGCTGCTTCAGACATGCACGGGGAGGGAGGACCAGTCTGAGCCACGACCACAAAGAGAAGGAACTCTTGAGCTCTTCCTCCTTTTCTGTTCCTTACATTTTGTTCTCATGTGGACTCTTTACCCTTTCTTATCCTTATCAAAGTCTTATTCAGAGTTTCTCTATTAGCCAATTATAACTTACAGGGAATTTAAGTCATCAAGCTATTGCACTGACACTTGTGCAGAGTGAAAAAGCTTTACCTTTTTATAGAAAAAAAAAATACATGCCAAAAAACCAAAAGCAAGCAATTTCATGTTTGAAATTTTTCAATGACCTCTTAATTGCCTTCAATGGAAAAATTA